GGCCGGTGTTTTCGGTGGAAGTGATATAATAATGTGCGCGTGTATGTGCGTGTGTGCGTGTGTGCGTGCGTGCGTGCGTGCGTGCGTGCGTGCGTGCGTGTGTGACACATGCTAATTTCCGAAACTCGGATCCGGAATTCCCCACTCGCGTGATCTCATCCGCGGTTATTTCGCGGCCGGTAGTGTGCGCACAAACTTGTGCAAATAGTAAAGCGGCCGAGCTGCTTCGCCGACACCGGCGGCAATAAAGCGCGCGGACGGCCGACACTTTGGGCGATAGCCCGAAAGTTGTAATTTTTTCGGCGCCAAACGCGCGCCTAAGCGAGTCCGACGTTTTTGTCTGTTATCAAACAATGTTCGGTGGCCGAGTTATCTCGCGGATTCGTCATACGTAAATTTAGCAAAAATGCGATAACGCGACCCTCTAAAAACTCGAGAGGAGTCACTTCCACATTGGCGGTTCAAAGAGAAGGAGATGCGGAGATGCGTTTTCCGCCGCGGCCGACTCCTCTCCGCGCCCTATCAGCTCGTTCCTATTTCACTTTCGTTTTTTCTCTGTTGCATTGTGCAACGGGAAAAATGCGAGGCCGGAAACAATTTAAATTGACGGAATTCATGTTATCGATACGCGTACGGATATTCGGCGGCATAAATGGATTTGCGAATCTGTTATGCAGATTTTGTTATTTGTTAAAACGCGACAAAATGCAGCGGCAGCGGCGGCGGCGGCGACGGCGACGATGGTTATCGACTCCAATTTCGCTAATATATCGTCATACGGGGCGTCTTTCGCTAATCCTCGTTAAACGTCTCGACATTTTTCCTAGCGCGCTGGCCTGCACACTCATGCGAGAAACGAGCTCTGTAAATTTGTTTTAAGATCTTCCCTCTCTTTTTTTATCATTACGCTAAGATAACACTATCAGCGTCACATTTAGTGCGTTCCCGCTTTTATAAGTAGCGGAGAATTATTTAATCAACGTACTGAATTGACTCCAGCTTGACGACCTAATTTTCCCGTATGGTGAAGCGGCGAATTGCACGCGCGAATTGTGAGACTTTCTTAGATTTCATTTCTCCGTAATCGCGCCGCACCGCCCGTCCTCCGCGCAATTGGGCAAATAAACGCATGCCTTCTCCCCTCTCCTCTCTTACGCCGCGGCAAATTTATCTACGCAATTCCGCCATTTTTTTTTTGTTGAATTTCCAATTTATTGCATCACCACGCGTCGCCGATTAACACGTATCTTTCACAAGGCAATTTTCGAATTATTATCTATGCGAATTATTATCTCAAGAAATGTATATATATATATATATATATATATATATATATATATGGAATGTTTCTTTCCATCTCGACATTTGTAGGAGTTTTTGTCGTTTTACGTTTTTATGTAATTAATCTTCTTATACAATTCTTTCCTTTCAAGATTGGCTCAAATCTCAATACAAATAAACTTCGAGCAGTAATAAATTCACTTGCGAAGAATTGATTGCTTGTCAGAAACTACTTTTGCGGCGTTAATAATTTAAGCAAAAGAATTTAATAATCTAAAATTCTCTCATCGTTGTAACAAAGTAGCGTTGGAACGAGCGAGGAGCTGGATTAAATATGCATTACCCGATGCAAAAATAAATTCTCGTGCATCTAATCGCTGTGTGTGTCGCTCTTTCTTTTAACTTTCCGAAACTCGCTCGGATCTTCTTTTCGCCGAGTCAATTTCCGATTTATCAAAAATATCGCGATAATACGCATGCAATTGCGATTTTTTTTTTTTATCAGTAAATCGAATATGTGCGTAGACGTTGCAATTGTGTTTTTCGAATGTCGAACTTGTACTTATCTAAAATTATCAGTTTGCAAGCTTATCGCCGTGCGCGTCGTGCACTAGGATCGTGCGGATCGTAGCCGAAAATTTTAATTACGCGCGCCACGTTAACGTTAGTTTAGCAAAGTTGGCGAGCGGCCGCGTTAGATCCTAAATCACAGATCAATCATTTGTCGTACAAGTCGGTTTGGCAGCAGTTCGTTACTTTTCTCATTGCAGGTGAATAGACACAACGATGGTAGATACACAACACTTTTGTCTGCGATGGAACAATTACCAGAGCAGCATAACCTCGGCGTTTGAAAATCTGCGAGACGATGAGGACTTCGTGGACGTGACGCTGGCTTGCGACGGCAAGAGCCTGAAAGCGCATCGCGTCGTCCTCTCCGCCTGTAGCCCATACTTCAGAGAATTGCTCAAGGTAAGATTCGCCACCCCTTTTCCTTTCCTTTTTTTTTTTTTTTTTTTTTTTTTTTTTTTACCGTCTGACGAAGGTCCGGAGACGAGACTCCGCCGGTTCACGTATAAATTCGGGATGGACATTCGTCGGCGAGTGAAATCGAATCGATTATAGAGAGCTTAGAGAGCTTTCTCGATCGCCACCGCTAATGATTACGCGCAATAAACGTTGCACCGTTTCAGAGCACGCCATGCAAGCACCCAGTGATAGTGCTACAGGACGTAGCGTTCAGCGACTTGCATGCCTTAGTGGAGTTTATTTATCACGGCGAGGTGAACGTGCATCAGCGTTCTCTCAGTAGTTTTCTGAAGACGGCGGAGGTCCTCAGGGTATCGGGCCTCACGCAACAGGCCGACCAGACCGACAGGGATGAGGTACGTTTCTGGAAACGAATTACGGGAGGCTGAACGCGGGGTAATTCCGGTGGGTTTTCGGACTTTGATGCTGCAGGCACGTGAGAACTTTGCTCGCTGCTGTGTTTACGCGTGACAACGGGAAGCGGCAACAGCTGGTAGCGTAAGATTTTATCTTCGTTTCTCTCTTTTCTTGGCCGTGCCTGTAGCGCGTCCGAAATCGAACACACCGCAATTACGTATGATTTCAAAGTTAGACGCGTGTAAACGCGAATTTAACGTGTACATACATGTATGTGTGACGTGCGCGCGCGGGTGTGTGTGTGTGTGTGTGTGTGTGTACGTACCACACGCACGAGTCACGCATATTTGGCCATGTAAGATCGCGCGTATCTTGTACGTTATCGTCAATAGATGTTACTTTAGGCTGCCGTGTTATCTCGATGCAGAGAGCGTCTCTATCTTGATTCCAATTCGCGATTGTCATAGGTAAAGCAACAAACAAAAATAAAGCGTTCCCGCTCAATAAACCGAAAATCGATACCCATGGTAAATGCAAAGTATCGGATATCGATACGGCGTGTCGTGACATCGCGAGACTCTTCAATTTGCTCGTCACACGCTCAACCGGACTATCATTTTCGATGAAATGATTTATCGATCGATTAAACGACAAATCCGGTTCGTATATCGCGATGCTCTCTCTCTCTCTCTCTCTCTCTCAGTAATTACGATCGCTCCGAGAGCGTGTAGGAGTGAGCTATGCGTGCGTGCGTGCGTGCGTGCGTGCGTGTTTGTGTATCATAGTCTGTGTATAATTAATACTACCGTTCCCGTTTTTGTTTCCAGCTGTCGCATGTCCGCGCGCTGGCGGCCGGCGGCAATCACCTGCCGTTCCACGAGAAGTCGGAGGAGACTTTCCCTCGCGGTGGCTCGCCACCCACGCCTGTGACCCCGACGCCGACCACGGTGCAGCAGCTCCTGCGCCGTGCCCAGATACGCCGAAACGAGAGACGCACCCCGGACCCGCACGATGAATCGGCAAAGAGACCGCGAGTGCCGTCGCCGCCGCTCAACAATAACGACGCCACGCCCACGGATTTCTCGATGGTCAAGAACAACCACCTGTCGACGAAGGTGGAGGGCAATGGGGTGCACGACGAGAACAGCCTCGTCGAGGACAATATAAAGTGCGAGCCGTTGGAATTGACAGGCGGCAACGGCGGCGGCAACGCCGGCAACAACGAGGACTCGTCGGACTCCGGCGCCGCGGCCTCGGACCGGCCGCCCGCGTCCGCGAGTAGCAACGAGCACGAGCCGGAGCCGGAGCACACGTCCGCGCAGAACTTCCTACCGGAGAGCAAGCTCTTCACGTCGACACCCGGCAGCTTCAACTTTAGCATGGCGGCGCTCACCACCGACCACACGCCGTTGTCAGGTATGTGAGGGAGCACCGGACCCCGCGGCGGGCCTGTACGCACAGACCAATTTGCGGCCCTCGGGCTGTGCTCATCTTTGACCCTTAAGTGCGCGTGCGCGCCTTCTCGGTACCTCTCGGCCCTCTTTGCTCTCTAGAATTTAATTTCCGAGGTGGAAAGAAGCCTCGTGAAAGAAACAAAATTTAGATTCTCTTGGAAAATGTAGTGTGTCATGTCATCATCATCATGGCTTTAGCCTTTCGCACTTAAGGGTTAAGCGTACACGATTGATCGTCGCTCCTCCAGCGCACGCGGTTCATTCGATATTATCGTGTCGTTATTCGTTATACGCGTTTATAGAATTAAGAGAGGAGATTTCACGATTCAAATCGAGTGTAGCTGAACACCGGATTGCTTTATTTTTCTGTTTTATGAAAAATATTCCGTTGTTTCTATCGACTTGGTATAGATTTCTTTCGAAGCACTGTTTGAATACGTACGTCGTTTGTGCGGCTGGAGTCTCCGGCTTTCCACTTTTTCGCGACCGATTTTTCGTCCGCGTCCGCGTTACATCATTCATTTTCCTTCGCGTTTTCTTTTTCTTCTTTAATTGCGAAATTGCGTACAGGCCGTTGTTGAGTTTCCGCGCGCGATGGCAATGCCGTTGCTACGTGTGACAATAGTGAAATTTCCAGGGTTGGGCCACGGCTTGCAGACACCGGATCTAGCGGGCACTTCGCAAGGTAAGGGACTTGAAATCTTTTTGAGCTCTCTGCCCTTTTGAAATCATTAGAATTGCTTGAAAAAAAAGTCGAGACAATCGATATCACGCTCCCGCTATATATATATATATATATGTGGCACTCGTTATCGCGCGGCCGTCAATGTGCGTTCTTTTGATTTTTTTAAGGGCACTCTGCGCTACTTTATTATTCTTCCACTGACAGTCGATACATCGCGACAGACCTCGATCGTACGCGATGTAGCGGTTCGCTCTAATAAAAGTAACTAAGGACTTGTGCAGTTATATCAAACTAACCACAAATCACAAATGACGAGAATGAAATTGTTTACTGGTTGCGGTGAAAGAGCACTACTATCTGCTTGAAAGATTATTAAATCTCTTCTAATTGGCATGCGTTCCAAAATCATCGTTATCATCATTACTATTTACGGCACCATTTACGAATCGCCTACATTTTGCATATCATAAAAAAAAAAAAAAAAAAACAAAAATCATGTACTACGCGGAGCACGTGCAGCTCCACGGCTTCGAGCTCGGTAAACCGTAATCTTACAAGCCGAGCTTGCGAAAACGTGATTCCCGGGAGATTCGCGAGATTGCGTCACAAAATTCGACGCACAGGTACGGGCTCGCCGGCTGTAACTTACGCTCGTTAACGCGCCGAGCATCAAATGCGCTACGCTCAAATACATAAATACGAAATGATCGTGATTGAATTAATTATCACGGTTTATTTAGATTCCGCGTAAGAGAGACGACTCCCCGCGTCGGCATGTTTCGCAAATGTATTATGTATTATATATCGTAAATATCATACACTACTTCTTGTGTTCGAATGTGATAAATATAAGTATCTTGTTACACACAAAAACATTATTTTTATTCATAACTTTTTGTACGTTGTAGAACAGCGTGGATGTATAAATTTCGATTTATTTATTTATATTTCGAGTCGATATGAATATAAGATGTCTCGAGGGAAATATTAAAAACTTTCGGGAATATAGTCAGATCGTTTTAAGCGGATTATTTTTGTAGCATACAACTGCGAAAATTGCGATGATTTAGATAGGTCAGAGCACGTGGCAAATATATCAACTCTAGTACTATCATTGACGCGTGGTTACATTACGTTTTATCATTACATTTTATCATACCGTTATTATTGTGTAAAATATTTTTGAACAACTAATTGTGTACAGCTATAATTTTTTTAAACGTCTTTATATATAAAAATATATAAAAATTATATTTTTTACAAGATGTTTTTGCGATTGAAAGCGATTTTTAACTTGACAAACTTAACAGTTGTGCGAAGTATACGGAAAACATGCACGTAAAAGAATTGAGAAATTCACTTTGAAAAGTTTCTTTTCGGGACGTTTTGTATACTTGATTTTTCTTTCTTTTTTTTCTCTCTCTTTTTTTTTTTTTTTTTCTTTGGGACGGTCGAAAGAAGAGCGTACATTACGTGGGCAGAGCGACGCCTTTGGCTAACGACAATTTTATCGACTCGCGCGAAAAATTCACGCTGGCCGCAACAGATACATTCGCTCGAACATCGAATCGCCGTTATTAATATCGGCATCGATGTTGCACACGCGGACGCAATTGGCGCAAAAAGAAATGGAGTGGAGCGTACCGGAGTTTGGCATCGCTGTGCGATATTCGGCGCGCCGCGTTTGTCCGCGACACTCCGAGGGGGTTGCATCGTCGGGCTTCCTAAAGAAGGGGGCTAACGATGCGCCGGCGACACGCGCCCTCGATGTTTGTATACGCGTGTCGCATTCATCGGTTTCCCGGCCGGGTGTTGAACGATCAGCACCCGAGTGCTTTGAGTGTCGTTGACATAACCGTTGCCGATTTCCCGATAATCGATCGTTGACATGCTTGTATCGCTCGGCTGAACGGGTTGGACTGCGTATCGGCGTGTTGTTAACGTTGCGTCCCACCCCGTGTTAACGTTTTGCAATAGAATCAATACACGTGGCGTGATATCGCCGATACATCGGGGGCCGTGACATCGTGAATGCATAGAAATCAGATGAGAGAAAGAAAAGAAAAGGAAAGAAATAACAATGCGATTACGAGTCGACAAAGCGCTGGCAATTTATGCCTTGCAACTTCGGTTTTTCCGAAAAAAATTCGCAATACATGTGTATATATATATATCGTTGTAAAAGAGGATGTGATAGGTCTAATAATCT